GGAATGCCAACAGGACAGAAAAGACTGGGAGGCATATGGGTATAAATAGTCCAGGGAAAAAAGGAACACACAGGTCAATAAGAGGAAACCTGGCACTCAGATAGGTTCAGAGCCATGGAGGTGGAAAGTATACCTCAGCACTACTAACTCTCAGGGCTAAGCCACTTAGCAGGCTGCTGACTGTGTATATTTTTGGACTAAAGAACTTGAGCCACAAGTTGGCAGACTAGGCAGATTACTCATTTCACATTCCTGCCCCCAAGTCCCAAATCACTTTCTCGTTCTAGCACACAGTTACAGAATGGGGTTTGACTGGCTTACAGTACTCAGTCATTTCAAGAAATAAGCATCTCTTCCAAATTATCAAGGGAGACTTCAGAGAAGCTCCCACCAAGAAACAACTAGCTAGACCACCATGTTCAAGAACCAAATGCCATACCTGCTAATAAAATCAGCAGCAAATAATTTCACTCAGGTATCAACATCCAGAGTCTGGATTAAAATAAAGTTTCCAACACTACCTCTGTAGGTGTGCCTCAAGCTTCTCAATGGGTTTTCTGTTGATCAATACACCAAAGCTTTTACCTAAGCATTTTTGCCCTTTGAGAAGGATTCAGTGATAGCGAGCGTTACCTCAGACAAAAGAGGTCATACAAAAATGAGTAACAAGCATCTTCTGAGATATATATAAAATAAGCCAATTTTCTATCAAGAAAGTCACAAATCCAACTATTCCATTACCTTTTTATTCCAAGTCAGACAGTTTAATTCTGCTAGGTTTAATGCTTTATTTTGATAACAATAAATACAATGACTTTCATAACATTTCAGGCAATCACACTTAAAAGCAATAGCGAAATACTGCCATTCTGGAATTTTGCACTGAATGATGATTATCAGCACCTTAGTGCTCTGCTTATTCTCAACATTTTGCATTATCACTGTATACCATACATAGCACAAGTCAAAAGTGCCACTTATGTCATTAAAAGCACAGTATGCCATTTTTGTGCATTTGAGTTATGCAAATTGCAACGCAGAGTAACATAGTCTCTATTTTAGCTCGATAAGATATATTCTCCACATTGCCTTAGTGTCTTACGAGCATATGTGATGTTATTTTTCTCACACACGCATCTACTCAAACACTGTCTTCAGCAATAGAATTCAGGAAACCAAGACGCAAATCTTGTTCAAAATTTAATGCTACTGAATTTCAGTGCTACTCCTTTCAATAGCCTGTTATTTAATAATTAAAGCTACATATGTATTGGAAAGAGAGATACCAAGATAGAACGGAACTCCCTTCTGATACAAAAAGCAGAAGTTATCCCCAAACCCAACACACACAAATTCAAGAATGTAAAAAAGAAAATAACCCCCCTAGCTACAAATAAACAAACCAGACCCCCACCAAACAACCTACCAGATGTAACATTTACTAGATATCTCCAGGTCATCACCGCCTTTCAGTTTGTTCTTGCTGGTTTTGGAAGCATGTTAAAGCCATACTCATGGTAGCATACACCTCTAATTTTAACTTTGTATTAAACATCTGTCTGTTACAACAGCGAAGTACATCTTACCTACGATACTGCTGCCTAGAAACTTCGTCTCCACAGAAGAAACATACTGTTGATACCAATGTTTTTGTTTTATGGAAGTTCTTTTCCTTTTCCATTGGATTCCATGTTATAGTAATCACCTGATAAAATAATCACAAAAACCAATCTTGTTAGTACTACCGTTTAGAATATGTCAACATATTACCGCAATACAAGTGAGACAGGATTTAACAAAAGTTAAGTGAGACTTTAATAAAGAACTAGTCAGATACATTCTCATATTGATCACAGTTACTTTAATGTAAATTAATAAAACTTGCTCAGAATCAGATATTATACTTACTTCATTTGTTCCTTCTCTTAGTACAAACTTCTCTGGAGATACCATCATTACCTGAGGATCCATAACTTTTTTTGTCCGTAGGTTTGTAAAGCATAGGGCTTTAACATAGGCAGCCCGAGAACCTGTATTTCTTATGCAGAAGGAAGCTTCCCTTAATCTTGCAGGCAATAATCCATCCAGTGTTAGCATGTAACTATCTGACAGATTTTTAACATTTTCTAAAGTCACATTGCTTGTTCCTCCATATCCAGATAATGGTATCTGGTTGGGGGGGAAACAAAAACAGTACTTCAAATGACAGAAAGCTTCTTACTAAAACTTGTGTACCACTGTGGTAAACTATATAGTTACAGAAAGACAAATGAAAACGCCTAAGTTGTGAACTGAAAAGACTTTGCAAGAAATAAAAAAAGCCTAGGTTTATTCAACCTGTTTCAAGTTTTACTGAAAATTAATTTAAGGCCTACCTATAAAACAAGACAAGTTCAGATTTTTTGACAGTTCCAGAATTAAAATCTTGGACTAATTTTAAGGTAGTACATAAAAATCTTTCTTCTTCCTTCACAGAGGGAAAAAGTGCATGCAAAATTGAGGCTAATGTTCAAACTGCAAAATTTAGTGCCCTCACAATCTTTAACAAGTATACAGATATGCATAGTGTGTATCTTGAAAAATTTCAACTTCAAGAAAAACAGCTATTCAGGGCTAGATTTAAAACAATTATAAAAACAAATGTTTGAAATTACTAGAAGTTAGGTTGCAACTCTTACAGTAAACTTAATTCCTGGACGTGATCGAATCCCCAGCTGTTTGATTTCCAGTTTTGCAAAGCAGCAGGTTACTCGAGTAGGCGCAAACATCAAGTATATGTTAGTATCTTCTTTGGGACGGATTTTGAGTTCCCAACTACTAGTTAAGCGTTCTTCTGATCCAAATATACTTTGCATCTATAAAACCAAATACATCAGAAGCGAGTGACTACAACAGGAAAAACATGTAGTAGTAAGACTACACTAGTAACCCAAAATTAACTTCTTCAAATCTGGATTAACTCAGTTGACGAGGGCATATATTTAAAGCTGCAATGCTTAATATGCAACAAAGGCAACCAAGTTCAAGATACTTTCTATTCCCACACAGAGAGTATTGATGCCTCTCAGTTTAGACCACAAAGTTTTTCGCCTTCAATCCTCAATACAATAAGGCTGAACTTAACCAACGCTACATTAATTCTCTCTCAGCTTAAGATTTTAGATATCAAATCTGAACATCTGAGGAAGAAAGGGGATATAAATGTATGTGGCCTGCGTAACAAAAAAGCCTCTAGTTATAGTAATTCCTGAAGGCAAATTCCAGTTTTTCTTTCCTCCCTCCCTCCCGTACACAGTCCTTTAGAGTGAAGTCTGGAATCCCTCCTGCAATGAAGGCCACTGACAGATCACTCCACCAAGTACTGACTCTGTTGTGCTACAGCAGTTTAAAGAGCTGTAAACTGAGCTCCAGCTTGCTGCAGCACTCCTCTCATTTCAGCTCTTCCTAAGATTGCCAGGGAAGCTTATGCTCTGCTAACATGTCCATCTCAGCAGTCTCAGAGCAAATACTCACACAGCCTGTTAGTCACTGACTACAAATGAGCAACACTTCAGGGCAAAGAGGTTTTTCTTATAAGCATACTCTGATAATTGTCAAACACTAAAGAGAAATTTTCATGGCAGTTACCTGAAAGCAGTCTTGATCCTGGCCTCTTATCAACAGTCTTAAATGCTGGGTCACAGATGGAGAGTCATTTCTTAGAGTTAACTTCTGCTGACTGAAAAATTTGAAGTTTAGTTATATTTTACAGCAACTGTAAATTAACTGCATATATTTATTCATGGAAACAATGGAAATGGGACAGTCAACTTTAAAGACGTTTATAAAAAAAAATCACCTCTTGGAACAACAGAATACATTAGCTAGAAAGTTATTTCTGTATTCTCAAGCTTGCAGACCTCACAATATTACACATCATTACACATCAATCCTCATACAGCAAAACCACCCCAAAATATATATAAATACAGCTTTTCAAGTATTGTGCTTAACAGCTTGAACTTGAAAAGCAAGCAGTTGTGTCACTATAAAAATTCCTTAAAATCCTACTTTAAAACACTGTTATAATTAGATTACTCAGAGCTACTTAGTTATGCAGAAACAGGGTCTTGTGAGTAGTCTGGCCTGGATTCACTGGAACAGTCGTAAAGAACTAAATTAAGGACAACTTTTTTATTTCATGTACTTTTGAACATGATAGCACCACAGAAACTTATGGCTGCTTGGCAGCATCAGGTTGACCAAAAAGTAATTTTTTTGCTCTCTGATATGTCCTGGCATTGACCAGGCTTCTGGTGCTCAGATCCTTCCTTGACAGAGGAAGGAACACTCTCCAGCATGAAGAGCGAGTGCCTTTGTCATTTTAACGAGTCAAAGAACAATCGCAGAAAGATGTGACAAATCCTTAAACTGGTAAAAACATAAAGGAAGAGGAAAGATCATGCAGCTAGAATCAAAGAGAAGGATGAAGTGAGAGAAAAGCCTGTCCCCGCGTTTCAGTAAACGGTTTCACTAAATCATGGAATACTGAAGCTGTAAGCTTGAAACTAAAAAAGCTCAGACAAGAACCAGTCTGAAGGATAAAGTAATCATATTAGGGATGCAATGGATTCTCCATCACTAGAAGTTTAACACTGCAACACATTCAAATTCAAATAAAAGGTTGTTCAACAGCCTGTGCTATTCAGACTGTCAAATTACATTACCAGACTGGATTCTTCTATACTTAATGGATGAATTGAAGAGAAATAAGCGCAAAAATTTATTTCTAGCACAAGAAAGGTATCAAAAGAACCAATAAAATTTTTTCCATCGACTTACTTGGAAAATATTTTACTACATTTCTACTTACATAACGTACTAATCATACAGAATTAGGTATTATTCTAACAATAACTAAAGTCCAGAAGAATACAAAAAGATCAAACAAGACCAGTTTGTTTCCAAAAACTTCTTGCACACACACAAAAAATAATTGTAATATACTGCTTCTCTCACCTGAGTCATAAAACAGCTTAGTATATACAACCTGTGGATTATTAATGTGAATTAGGAGTCTTACTTCAAATCAGTGAAATATAAAATACTTAACGTGATATTCTATATGATCAGCTGCCCAACTTACACTGATGCTCCAAGGGTAACTCCTCCCCAGGCAATGAACTGCTTGTTGGACAGAATGGATGGGATGTCTAGGCAGCCAGCAGCTGCAGACACAGGCCTGTTGTCCTCAGGCTCCACCTCACCTTTCACCACCACTTCATACTGAGGCCCAGATGGCAGTACAAGGATTTTCAAAGCACTTTAAAAATAAACAAACAAATAATCTCACCACAGAACAAGATTAGCTGATGAAAACAAAACATAACTGAAAAAAAAATTATAGCTAGGCCTTTTTAAACTACCTTCTTAAGGCAAAAATACAAATACTTTTTGTTATTTTTTGACAACGGCTAGCTTTAGGCATAGTAAAATTTAAATCCTTTGGGCTGTAAACATGCATGCCACAGGTACCTCAAGCAATCTTCAGAGGTATTGCATATGGAAACAGTTCAGATAAGTATTTTAGAGACTACAGCTAGGCAAATTATTTTTTGCCCATGCTAACTTCTGATTATTTTGACATACTAATTTTGGAGAGGAATAAAGTCTGGCTGTATCTACATAAGATTAAAGAGACACCTTCTGAAACACCTGAAAAACTTCATTGAATTTTTACAAGTGTGAGATACCCAGGAGCATCAAAATTAAACTCTGAGTCCTGACAACAACAGCAGTGTTCTAAGCCACAAACCCAAGATTTTTTCCTTTGTTTCCTGGGATTGCTGTGAGAAAGAACACTAAGCCCCCAGACAGGGAACCAGCCACCAACAGCGGGCTTTTCATGATACAGCTTCTACCCTATAGGACACAAGCATGGTGCAGATGGCTTACTGCCTTCTTCAGGCAGAGCAGAGAAACAGATGGATGAGAGCATCAGGAGTAGAGATTCAAATAATGAAGTAGGAAAAAAATGGGCTAATACCTAATAGGAAAGCTGGACCTAACTAGCAAAGAAAACAGAAGAAACAAGACATAGAAACCAGGAAAAAGAAGGTGCTGCCTAATTAAGAAGGACAGAAGCCAACAGAGAAATAAAACAAAAGGCTAAAGTGTTTAGGGAAGGAAGTGGAAATTTGAAGCATCTAACCAACACCACAGGGAACAAGAGAAAAAACAATCAGAAAAACAAAATAAAAAAGAAATAGAAAAAAGGCATGGGGCAGGAAGACAAATCAAGCTTTTAAAGAACAGGTTGAAGCATTTGCTATGGCATAGACCCACTTAGAGCCAGGAAAGAAACTCAAGAACATCCACTCTAGCTGTCATTGAATTCCTGGGATGCCTACTGATAGAGCCCTGCATCCCATCAGCTAGTTTATTAGTCTTTTGTCAGCACTGGCAAGCAGACTGCAAGGTTTCCAACCTTACTGAGTACCTTGAGCCTGTAAAGCAAAGCAGTTATGCATAAGGCCATAGGAAAGAAAAGATTAATCACTCTGCATGCCTATCCATTAGGATCATACTGTTGTTAGCACAGAACTTATAATTCTTTAATTTAATGCACTGGGTAGGCCTAGATAAGCCAGACAGTGAAGCTGAACATTGGACAGATTCCTTTGTCCATTTCTTGCTCTATTATAGCAGAAACTGGAAAACATAGAATGATACAATGGTTTGGGTTGGAAGGGACCTTGAAGACCATTCAGTTCCAATCCCCTGCCATGGGCAGGGACACCTTCCACCAGACCAGGTTGCTCCCAGCCCCATCCAGCCTGGCCTTGAGCACTGCTAGGTAGGGGCAGCCACAGCTTCTCTGGGCAGCCTGTGCCAGGGCCTCACCACCCTCACAGGGAAGAATTTCTTCCTAATATCTGACCTAAATCTCCCCTCTTTCAGCTTGAAACCGTTACCCCTCACCCTATCACCATCCTCCCTGATCAAGAGTCCCTCCCCACCTTTCCTGCAGCCCCCTTTCAGCACCGAAGGCCGCTCTAAGGTCTCCCCAGAGCCTTCTCTTCTCCAGGCTGAACAAGCACAACTCTCTCAGCCTGTCCTCACAGGGGAGCTGCTCCAGCTCCCTGAGTATCTTTGTGGCCTCCTCTGGACCCGCTCGAGCAGGTCCATGTCTGTCTTGTGCTGAGGGCCCCAGAGCTGGATGTAGTATTCCAGGTGGGGTCTCACAAGGGCAAAATCCCCTCCCCCGACCTGCTGGCCACGCTGCTCTGGATGCAGCCCAGGATGCCATTGGCTTTCTGGGCTACAAGTGCACATTGCTGGGTCATGTTCAGTTTTTCACCCACCAACACCCCCAAGTCCTTCTCCTCAGGGCTGCTCTCCATCCACTCATCGCCCAGCCTGTATTGATATTGGGGATTGCTCCGACCCAGGTGCAGGACCTTGCACATGGCCTTGCTGAACTTTACGAAATTCACACAGGCCCACCTCTCGAGGTCCCTCTGGTTGGGCTTGTGACTAACAAAGAGAAAAAGCTGCTCTGGAGAAATGAGTCAGACCCCTGCCATTGTCAAAAAGCTCTTACATGACACCAGAATGGTCACTTGAACCAATCAAGTCTATTGCACAGAATGGAAGCTTGACAGGTGCTAACCATGCAAAAATATGAATGCTTACATCTGCAAAATGAACATGTAGATTAGTGTTGTACAGGATTTACATACGAACTTTTATTTGATCATCACAGCCAAAATTAAATACTTTTGTTCCTGAACTGTGCTTGAACTCTTTCATATGTAAAACAGAAATAACAGTTCCCTTGTCTCAGCAGAGTAAAGAGGGAAGCAACTGAAGGGGCTGCTGAAGTTAAGTATTTTAAAGCTTTACTGTACTTCAGGAAGAGTACCATACAGAGGGCTTCAGGGACTTACTGCATTTATTTACACTAAACTAATCTCAGGACATCTGTTGATCTGTCACAGGAAATATTAGCTACTCATTAAGCTATGTACAGCAGAAGAGGCAGGTGATCTATGGAAGAGGTGAACCCTAGCAAAAATCTACTTTGTAATGAGTGAGGACCCTCACGAAAACAACTGAAATCAAAGTTTCCTTTGTGGGTAAAATTTCCAATTTGTTCATGACCTTAAGGTCAAAAGTAGCCCTGTTTAAAACAGCATAAATTCAGTTATGTTACCTTTCTGTAGTCATTACTTTTTTTGGAATAAACAGGACAGTCACTTCTCGTTCTTCTCCAGGAAGAAGAAAAAGATCCCCAGGTTCAACAGCAAAGCAGCTGTCCTGATTTGATGTCTAAAAGTGGGCAAGGAGAAAAGGGAGGGCTGATCATTTATTTTAAGGGACTAAACATTTCTTCAACATGTAATAGTTTAGTTGTGCATCTGTTGTACTGCAGTTCAGACAACTCAAACACATCTAGCACCTTCAGAATTTTCCCATAACCCTGCACTAGTTAAACTCTTCTGAAGCTGGACACTCTAGTACAAATACTTCTAACAGAAGCATCTTAAGACATACAACATTGAAGGGGCCAGAAAGATATAAAGAATCAAACAGTAAGTACAACATGGCAATGGTACACCTCTAGTGAAGTAATATCACCAGTCTCAACAGTGGTACCGACCATTACTGCCATCAATTAGTACCCAGTATCATCATGTTAATGTGGAATTTGTGACATCTTATTTCTGGCCTCTGCTCCAAGAAATGATGGGCTCATGATCATCAATTTTTTTAATTTTTTCTTTTTAATGTAAAAGGGGACTGACTGCTCCTTCTGTTGACCCTGAAATACCAGTTTCAAATGTGTTTAGCTACCCTTCAGTCTGGGACCATATTTTCCATGGATTCTCAAGAAAAATAAAGTTAAGTAAAGAGAGATCACATATCTGAAAAGAACTCACTTCATACTTGCATTGGCAAAATGTCCACTGAAAACTAATGCAGCTTCGTTAGAAAATAAAGATGTTTCCCAAAGCTAATATTCCTCTTTGCTCTAAATAGGCTCTACTCCTTCAGCTAATTAACATCCGCTGTGCAGCACAAGATTCACTACTTTTACATATTTGTTATACGCTTGTTAAAATCTATTTGTTAAAAATCATAAAAGTATGTTAAAACAAACACGACTGAAGCTGAGCAACAAAACTCCCATATGCTTTTTCCAGTAACGTGAGCTAATCTCTTTGCTATCTCTCATTCTCTTTATGCAAACTTGTAAACCTTTTGTCAAACCACACAGTTGAGCTAGGATCCAAAGGCTCAGCTCTAGTTTCAATACAGCATTAACAGCACAAAACTCATGATTAAGAGGGAGAAGCCAACCTACCTTAACTTTCAAATATACACCAATGTTTCCAGCATTTTTCAACGGCAACTGCTGTTTGGCTAAAAAACAGCAGTAGACAGATATATTGTCTGGAAAAAGTAGAGAAGCACATATGAGTGTGTGTATATATATACATATATATACACATACATATATATATACACACATACACACACACACCCCACACCCCTATATAATAAAACCAAACATTCAAAAGAAGCAGGCTAGGAGAGGCGAACTATTATTGAAACACTTTGTAAATACATGTAAACCTGTAAGTCTTTTGGAGCGTGTATCCTCGCTGTTCCAGCTCTAGCTCGGAGAGGAATGCTTTTAATCACACTGCTAGGTCCTGGACTATCCACCTCCACATCAACTCTTGCCAAGAATTCATCCGCTGGACCCAAGGAATCTAGAAACAATTCCATGAGTAACAAAAGCAAACAAGCCTGCTAGCAGGAAAGGCCATTCCTTTGGATGCATGTCTCATTTCTGCTACTGTCCAACCTTAACATATTAATGTTGTGGTGACATTAACAGAAGTTCTCCCATTACCCTGGCAACACTTTTTTTCTTTTAAAGTCTCACAGGATCTTATTTAAATTTTAACTTTCTGTCAAATGTGGATGAAATTGTCCCTAAAGCAAAAAAATAAAAAGTCATCTTAACATACTAGCCAAGCTGCTGATATATGTACTAGTTACTATTTAGGAAGCCAGAAAAACTCAGATTTCTTCAAATTTTTTATCTATTTTGCAATGAGTGCAATGTTTAAGTGATGACTTAATTCCCTCAGCAAAAGGAGTAAAGCAAATTCCACACATCTTGCAGTAGATAACCACTCTGTACAGTTTGATAATGAAGTATAAATACCCCTGTTAACATCTGAAAGATTAAGACACAGAAGCACTTTGCCTCCTTCAGTTACTCAAACTGAATGTGATACCTGAAATATCAGGGCACACAAACCAAAGACAGAACGTGACATTTCAAGCTTGCAGCCTGTTCCCTCAAGTCTAACACATGCATACATTAAAAGTCAAATTTGTTTCAGTTGAAATGAAAAGCAAATTGCTATACCTGAACAAGAACTTTGTTTCTTAGGTGCGTGGAACAGAACCCAAACTGTTAAAGCTTCAGGATCCTGAAAAAGAAATTAGTTGACTCATCTTATGAGAGGGAGAGAATTACTGAAGAGAAAAAAAAAGAAAAAAGCACAAAACAAAACAAAACCAAACCACAGTAGCCACAAAACTATACTGCTCAAACAGGTAGACTTCCCAAAAATCATTACTGTGAACTCAGATATTCAGAACTGTGATTTCAGACAGCAAGTAACAGGAAGAATCAGCCAACTACGAACTACTCACTTGCCCGTCGTAGCTTGCATGTATCACATGATTGACAACTGATGGAGCTGCTATCTGAGAAACTTCATCTATTTGGAGCGATTGATCATTAGAAGGATTAACTGGTTCCTTGGAGAACGTGAAGCAACGCCAAGCTACTGCATTCTGTCAAAGAAATAAAGCATTGAATCTCTTATTGTCACTAACAATAATGCTGACAAAGCTGCAAAATGCAAGGCAGAATGATCTAAGTAGTTTGGAAAAAACAATCAAAGATTAGCCTGTAGTTTCAGTTGGTATGTGATAGTCCAGCAAACCCTTTAAAAAATAGTCAGAAACCCTTCTGGAGTAAAAGGAGACAAGCTGGAACTGGTTAGTTTAAGCCTTCAAGAAGTTTAGCTGTTCAAGACCAAACCTCACCAGTCACCAAGATGACCTGATCCATCTTAACACAAGGCCAGTCCTTTCTTGTCCCCCCCACATAAGGAAACACGACCAGCTCTTCCCACAGCACAGAACAGCAGCCAGCCTAGCCAAAAATCCAAAATCACCATTGCCACAGAGATACAGAGGAGTATACTGCAGCCTGCAATGGAGGCTGTTATAATCTCGGGGGAGACAAAGCAGACTGAGGAGTCCTGCTCTTGCTCCTGCAAAGGAAGAAGAAATGTTAAACTTGCTATGGAGCAAATTTGGCTGCTTGTCTGAACAGTCAGCTCTTCCACTTGCAAGGTGGAATACATCTCCGACTTCTCAGAGGGAAGGTTTAGGCAAGACAACCCTTTTGCTGTCTGCTGCCCCGTGCTATCAAATTAGGCAACACAGAGGCAGCAGTCCATGGCTAGGCTGAAAAAAAAAACCACACCCACCAAAATCTACCAAAACCCCCGCAAAAAAACCACCACACCTATCCCAGAAGAATTTAAGCATTTTTGTCCATGTCATGTCCTGGTTTTGTCTGCAATCAAGTTCATTTTCTTCCCAGTAGCTGGTACCGTGCTGTGGTTTGGATTTAGCATGAGAATGATGTTGATAACACGCTCATGTTTTTGTTGTTGCTGAGCGGTGCTTATACTAAGTCAATGACTTTCCAGCTTCTCATGCTGCCCTGCCTGCGAGGAGGCTGGGGGGCACAAAGAGCTGGGAGGGGACACAGCCAGGACAGCTGACCCAAACAAGCCAAAGGGCGTTCCATACCATATGATGTCACTCTCCATATCTAAACTGGGGGGAGCTGGCCGGGGGACCCACAGCTCAGGGACTGGTTGTGAATTGGTCAGCAGGTGGTGAGCAGTTGTACTGTGCATCACTTGTTTTGTATATTCTATTATTATTACTATTATTATTTTCTCTTCCCTTTCTGTCCTATTAAACTGTCTTTATCTTAACCTGTGAGTTTCACCTTTTTTTCTTCCCCTCCCCCTGATTCTCTCCCCCATCCCACTGGCAGGGGGCGGGGGGGAGTGAGCGAGCAGCTGTGTGGTGCTGAACTGCCAGCCAGGGCTAAACCACAACATACCATTACAGCAGAATCAGATTACCACCCTGCAATAAATTAATTTCCTGACTAACCAAAGACTTCTTCGGTATCTTACATCCAGTGTCCAGGGTACATTTCTTAATGACATATAACATGAAGTGTTTTGGTATTAAAATTCAGTATCACAAGAAGTTAACTTTCACATACAGAAGTTTACTGTACTTACTGCATTAATAATCAGTCTAATTGGCACAAAGGCATGGGTTTTGTTGATAAGTTTTAGTGGAAGAGCCTTCCAACTGCCAGAAGTCAAGTCACCAAAATCCAGAGTATCTCTTTTTCCTGTTTCCACCTGGTTTTAAGGCAAAGCAGAACCCATAAGGAAAGAAAATCTCCAAACACGCTACCATACAAAAGCACCAGTAAGGATGTCATTCACCTATTCCATCCTCGTAATGCTATAGCTGCATACAACACACACCTCCTACCGGGTTAGGAAGAGTCTAAGAAACAGGTTTCCTTTGATAGCAAAAGGGGTTCCATCTGATTGGCTATCCCCCACATATTTCGCCTCAGTCAAGCAAGCCAATCTTAGTGCAATATTCATCCACCAAAACCCAGTACACAAATTATTTTGGCTAATTCAAACTATGATTATTGCTAGAAAATGAGACATGTTAGTTTTAGATAGTTAAAATGTCATTTTAGCAAGTTAAAAGTTAAGAAAATAACTAAGGAGTAGTTAATTTTGTTAGCATAAAAGCATTTGAGTGTCATAACCTGCAGCAAAATACAGCTTTTATTTGGTACTTTTTCCAGTGTCAGGAACACAACAAGACATGTGGAGACAGAGCATAGGGTTTCATTTTACTCTAAATTAAGAAGCAAGTTTGAATGAATATACCATGAAGAACATGGAGAACAATGGATTTTGCCAAATTATGTCTTAAAACAATGCATTAAAGATTAAATTAAAATATATGGAAGAAGCATTAAAAATCATATCCTGTGTATTCAACTAGAATATCACTACTTTAAAACATACACTTAGCCCAAAGAAAGTTAACAGACCACTTCAAATGGAAAAAAATTGTTGGCTGTAGTTAACGACTGAAAATTCTACTTTTATCATTGATGTCACCGACATCACAGAACATTTGTTCAGACACCTTCAAAAGTACCATCAAGACCATTTCTCCTTGTCCATACTCTTAAATTTAGGACTACATAAAGCCAGATTTAATTCATAATGTCACACTGTCTGCCTTCTGGTTGTTCTTCATGATAGGATGCAAGACAAAGCATTTTAGACATCCACTTACTTTTAATTTTTAACTAGTTCAAAATAAGAAAGTATTCTCTACAACCATAAATAAGCTGGAAGTAATGAGAAACCAAGACAAAGCCTAGTTGATGTAAAAACTAAAGAAATCCTTATAATTGGATATAAAGACTTTTTGTTACATTTTAATGCCCAATGGTATGCACATACCAGATATTTAGAAAGCGTTAGATGTTCAAGATCTCATCAATTCTTTTAATGATGAAAAAGTAACATCTTTTAGTTTATTCTTTTCCGACAGAATCCATCAATTCCAGCTAGGTGCTCTTCCACAACTAAAACTTCCTAGATAGCTATAAGCTCCTCAAACATTCTTCTATATTCCCTCCCCACTCCAAACATAAGAAATTCCAGGTTCCTTTGAGGAACTGCATTGCTATTCTTTTCCAGTGTCATTAAACCATTCATAAAAATGCAACACCACCACCACCACACAATAAGCAGCTACTTACTTCTAGATCAGGATTTTCAGCGACTGCTGTCAGAACTACCCTACTTGCCAAAGCTTCTGCCTGAACAATTGTCTCAGCATCTGCAGAAACTGGCCAAGATGAAACATTGAGAATATACTGAAAGATCCCCGAATGACAAGGTAAGAACAGTATCTGCAGATCATTGGTAGAATAAGGTCCTACGATGGTTTTGTTCTTGAAAACCAGACATTGATATTTCACAGGATCCATCTGAAAAACAAAATCTCTGTCATTTTCAAGAGGCCTGTTGCCAGAGGACAGCATTTTTACAAATACCACATTTATCTGGCACCACTGCTCAGCGCAGATATTTTGTATATGTTTTTGCTCAATATTAATTATGCATCTTCATATTCATGTCCCACTTCCATCCCACTCAACTGTAGGCACCTAACTCTTTAAATTAAAAGATAAGTCAGCCTCAAAGTTCCTGGGGGTTCTTTCCAGCATCTAGTGAAAGATTAATACTGGGATTATAATATTTACTACGGTTAAAAATGAATTCATAAGTAAAACCCTGATTTTTGAGAAAGAACAGCAAAATAAATAAAGCAAGCCAACTCTACTTGGTGCTTTCTGCCATCAAAAATGGGAGGAAGAGGTATGGAGGACGAGTAATGGAAAGGTCAGTGGATAGAGGTCACCAGTAAATCCTAGCACAGATGCCTTAAGGTTTTTTTCGTGAACATATTCATAGATAATCTCCAAGCAGAAGAGACAGACTGCAAGTCACACAGTGTACCTCTTAACTTGACTGGAAAAAAATGGGGTTTAATTATATTGTGCAGCAAACAAAATAAATGTAAATATTTATTCATGGAATGCCTGGGAGTGTCAACTGTAAAGTAGTTTCATGAAAAAAATCACCTGGTACAACAGACTCTCAGGTTTGAAGAGCTGCATAAGAGCCCCATGATACTGAGCAACTAGAAAGATATCTAGGAAATCTCCACTCTCATACACACATGTATATACACAAACACAGAACTGTGGTTTGGTGTTTTTTAAAGGGGAAACGTTCAGAGAAAATGAGAGCAAAACCAGAAGTCATAACCCTGGAAAGAAAAGTGCTACATCTGCTTGAAAAATATACCTAAGGAGGGATACTGTAAGGATTTATAAGACATACAAGCAGCAATATATAAAGTGAATCATTGTCCATTATTTCTCAGTAATAAAAGGGCCAAATAAAACCAGCAAGAACCAGACTAAAAAAAAATGGAAAAAAGCAGTAGTGCATAGGATCCACAACTGAACTGAACTGTGGGTAACACTACACAATTTCAAAAGATTACCTAGACAAAGAGCAGACCACCAAAAACTAGTAAGAACAGAAATAACATGTAGCTCAGAAGTTCCCAAGCATCAAAGTGCCAGAAGCTCAGAGTATGCTATGCTTGTTCTGCTGTTACATTTTTCTCTACTCAGAGTATTGATCAGTAATAAGTGATACTGATGGACTTTTAACCTAACTCATTCTCATGTTCTCGAGACCTTTTACCTCTGGAACTATTACTATGATGACAGAAGTAGACAGAATTCAACAAAATTAAAGCATTAAGATGCCAAATCTATGGCCTATAACCCACAGAACAACCCACCTAGCCTGAAGCCTGCTCCAAATAGTTCTCATTCTGTGTCACTCAAGATCTCCTGATGCCAAGAAAAACGGGAGCAAACTTCACAAAATGTTTAGCAGTAATAGTCCTCAGCATGGACACTTTCTTTCCTAGGGCTGACTTTCCTTGCATACACAGGTCAGAATGAACAAGCACTCAACTCAAACCGATCACATTGTGCACACAGAACAAGTCTACAAGTCAGTCCCATCCCATGGCATTTACCTCCCCATGCCCACTTGTTGGAGTAAGTCAGGTGGCCTGGGGTAGCACTGCTTTTGTGCATATTAACAGTAAAATGGGAAAAAATTACAAACCCGTACAGGGGGCTCAATTTTATGTATGACAACTGTTAAGATTCTAGCATTATCCTTATAGCTTTATTTAAACAAAGCTCTTACCTTTTCCCCATTAACTGAAACACTGAGCACTCCAATGCTGACCTGCAACCACCGTTCAGTTGGATTAAAAATGCCAAGAACCGTCTGTGATGCAATTCCCACACAACAGGCATTGGGGAACTTTAATTCTTCTGGTACTTTTATATGTCCTTTGGAAGAAAATATGGTCCTGTTAGTTCCAAGCACCCAAAAGCAAATCAGCACTCAGGCTGCCACCATGTCAAGTTTATAAACTCATTTGACAAATACTTTGTTACAGCAGTGAAATGTTTGACTCCTACAGTTTTCATGAGCATTTTTCTACAACCCAGATACAAATTAGAAACTATTGAAATTCTGAGTATCTTACTTGGAGTTCTAGTGTCACAAACAGAAATATTTATGGAAAAAGCACATCCCATGCAGACACTAACCCACAAACTATTTATATACACCTTATATAAAATACTCAATGTTCACAATTCAACCAGTATTAGCCCAACTCAGAAAATGTGAATATCAGTATTACAACATCTTTAGAACATTTATACTGACCAAAAAGGAAAATCTTCTTTTCTACCAGAATATAACTGTTACCTAAAAAGGTATTCAGGCATTTTTTTGCTACAGAAAATACTGAGTACTGCCAGGGTAGACTTTTGCTGTAGAAGTGCAGCCATCAAAAACTACCACCAAACCAAAAAGAAATCCTGCTTCAAATATTTTACTTCTAGGAAGCTCTTACTTCTAAATATTCAAAATAACTCTTTCAGAGGAATTGCAACATTATAATGACAACTCAAAACTCAAATAGAGGTAAGAGTTCCCTGGCATGACCAGGATCAATCTTCACCACACCCAGAAGCCCACTAACAGGTACCCATTTTAAAAATTAAATGGGTACCCAAATTAAAAATTTGACTTCTCTGTTAGAGACACACATAATCACTTGAAGTAGTTTTAGTTACTTGAGCAACAAGCTTTATTTTAAAGCCACATACTCTTACTCTTGCCTGATAAATCTGGTTCCCTTTTATGATGGAGTTACAGCATCAACCGACAAGGGAAGAACAAGTGATGTTGTCCATCTGGACCTGTGCAAAGCCCTCGACACTGTCTCACATGACATCCTGGTCTCCAAATTGGAAAGACATAGATTTGACGGAGGGACCGCTCGGTGGGTAAGAAATTTGCTGGAAGGTCGCACCCAAAGAGAGGTGATCAATGGCTCCGTGAGTGGAAACTGACAACAAGCAGTGTTCCTCAGGGATCGGTACTGGGACTGGAGCTGCTTAATATCTTTGTCTTCATCATGGACAGTGGCATCGAGTGCACCCTCAGCAGTTTTGCCGATGACACCAAGCTGTGTGGTGCAGTCGACACACTGGAGGGAGGGGAGGCTGTCCAGAGCGACCTGGACGGGCTGGAGAGGTGGGCTTGTGTGAATCTCAAAGTTCAACAAGGCCAAGGGCAAGGTCCTGCACCTGGGTCAGGGCAATCCCCAATATCAATACAGGCTGGGCAATGAGTGGATGGAGAGCAGCCCTGAGGAGAAGGGCTTGAGGTACTGGTGTGTGATAGGATGAACATGTGTGCGCT